TGTAGAAAATGTCCGTATAATCTGTAATTGTTCTTTCATGACAAGAATGTAGAAAACGTCCGTATAATCTGTAATTGTTCTTTCATGACAAGAATGTAGAAAACGTCCGTATAATCTGTAATTGTTCTTTCATGACAAGAATGTAGAAAACGTCCGTATAATCTGTAATTGTTCTTTCACGACAAGAATGTAGAAAACGTCCGTATAATCTGTAATTGCTCTTTCACGACAAGAATGTAGAAAACATCCATATAATCTGTAATTGTTCTTTCACGACAAGAATGTAGAAAACGTCCGTATAATCTATAATTGTTCTTCCATGACAAGAATGTAGAAAACGTCCGTATAATCTGTAATTGTTCTTCCATGACTGGCTGTTAAAAACAAATGTACATACATAGTTATTACGATTTATTATATGCACCATAACTTCGAGAGAAATTTTTAATGAAAAGATGCATATTCAGAAAATTATGGTATATTGAGTTGCTCAGCCTAGAAACTTAAAATATAATAATAATAAAAATGTGGAGTATTGAGTTAAACTGAAATGTCATATTTTTGATCATGTAATAAGAATAAACAAATGTCTTTACAATGACAGTTTCTCTTAATTTATTGAATTATTAACCATTGTATTGTGCAGTGTGGATCAGATTAACAGGAGGTGAAAATATAATAGCAAAATGTTATCTTGTGGTGCTAGCCAGAGCCACAAAACTTCTAATAATATTTTAAGTATGTTAGATGAATCACACAACCTGATAATTGAGCACTTTCAAAAGGTAGACCTTACTTCTTCGAGGATGAATCAAACGTCTGCTTTCCCAGAGCACTCAGTTTAGTGGATTTCTTAGTTTGTGAATCTACATGATTTTGGAGTATGATGAATCTTTTGTATATTGTAATCAAAGGTTTAACCTGTTTAGAAAATTTAAATTTTGAATGTTTAAATAACTTATTATTATATTTTCTTTAGACGTTAATCAACCAACGTGGTATGTACGCTGCATCTCTAGTTCCTGTGTATTGTATCACCATAGTAACAGGGATCCTAGCATTTAAAGCAGCAGGTGGTTCCTGGCATTCTTTCCGAGCCTTCATACGTATAACTCCCAAATGATCAAATACTTAGTACTACCATAATAAGACTGAAGTAGGCTCTTGTTTTCAAATCTTTAAAGTCCTAAACAGTTTGGATTAAAATAGTTTAAAAATAATTGAAATGTGACAGTATTTTGAGCAGAGTTGCTGAAGCCAGATTACCTTTTATTTGGATATCATTGCAGCACTTTGAAACGTCTTAACATATAAATATATATATTCTTTTTTTTAGTGTAAATTTTTTCCAAGTAAATGTTGAAAAATATTGTAATAATCACCAAGTGATGAACATGTATATGTACTAATACTTTAAATGGGTCAATTTGAAGTACTTTCATTAAGAATATATAAAGATATATTCAAATTTTTTTAACGTGATTGAATGAAGTTATCATCATATAATAAACCTGATATTTGTGTTTCATAAATTTAATTTGTTCCTATAGCATGAAAAAAAATATTTTTGTCTTAACAAACTTGGTTTAAGAGTACTGCCATGTCACTGCATTAGCGTTTAGTGGCAGTCTCCTTATTTCTGTTTCGTTCGCATCTTTTATTTAGCTGACTCCTCCTATCGCATTTCTTCTTAATCAAAATACGCTAACTGTTGAAGAATTTGACTTAGCTAATTCTTATTTTCCTATATACTATCCCATCCAATAAGATTACTTACACTGTTTCCCCCTTTTAGTGGTGCAGTAAATTTGATAGTTGAATTTTAATAAAATATGATCTTGACATCAAACTTTCTCTAAAATATAAGTAAGCATTTTTGTTATATGAAGAAGTTAATAATCTAATGACTAGCATTAGTGACTGAAGAGAAATACAACTTTTTTAGATGTAAAACCTTCTCTCCCTGTTCTGCCTCTTTCTATCCTGATACTCATCAGTAGATAATCAGTTTTTATTAGTCTTTATTTTCATTCACAATAGGATACCTGATAACCATTACACAATAACAAACCATAAATGACAAATAAAGTAAAAGTTTCCCAACAAAGTATAGAAAGAAACAACTTGATTGGAAAAAGAAGTACAAGAAAAAACAGTACAAATCCTGTTGCTAATAATACAAATGAGTGAAAGATAACTTATTTTATTTATTTGTGTAATGTTCTATATATATATAAACCTTTAGAAATCTGTATGTATTACTTTTACATTAATGTCTTACAAATGTGATTTGTTAGTCATAAAATTCTAATACCTGAAGCATGAAGGGCCAAATTTGGGAAATAAGACTTGAACTTGCCTAAACAATGGTATTCCACCCTTTGTTACTATCATTTTAAAAAGTTTCCAAAACAAAAATATTGTTTATTAATTCCAGCCAAATACTAAGACATTCAAGCCTTATGTCACAATATCGAAATACTTTAAAACAAAGAACGCTAGTAATCATTCAAAATATAGAAATATTTTGATAATCTGCTCAAATTAGGACAGCCTGATTTCAATTCTTAAATTTTTGAGTTTATTATTCATTATTTATGGGTTTATTAAGTTTAAACAAAGATATCAGTGAAAGTTAAATATTTTACCCATGTTCTCCCTCCATTTATTTAACTACTTAACGTTTAAAAAAAAATCTATTCCAAAAAAATGTATTCTGATCTATAAAGTTCATAAAATTAATACATAAGAACACTGATAAACCACATGTAGCATCTCTTAAGATTAATACACTGAAATTAGCAACAAGCACTATTAAGGATCAGTCATTTCTTTTCAGAACAACTGTTTGGATATTTCCTTGGAAATAGAAAATACTAACTAGATCTATTTCATACTCACTAATACATAATTACTTGGTATTTTATATTTAATACACATTTATTTAGCAAATTATATTAAAACAAAACTGCAGAAATATTTTCTTTCCTTTTTTCTGGTGTGATAACAATTCTCACTTCTACTGCATTTAATTTTTGTGACAGCTGTTGATTTTATTCTGTTTATTGAGTGATCTCGAGTATTCCAGTCTCTTGGAGTATCTGCTCTTCTTTAATTATTCTTATCAGAACCAAAGTCATCTTTGTTTCTTCTTCACTGAGGGTAAAGTTATCATAAGTTTTGTAGTTGTTTTTTTAGCATTGCTAATTCATGTATCCTCCAAGTTTTTTAAGTAAATTTTTTCTTGTGGACTTTAACTATCCAAATAGTTTATAGTCTAACCTTGAAACTTCAATCAACTTCATTGTTGTTGTTTTTTAGTGTTCTAATATTTCTTACCTGTTAAAGCACTTTTCAATAAAATGACTTTAAATTGCAAGTATTATAAGGGTAAAATTTGACTTTTGTTTTGTTTATTTTTTACATTCATGAAATACCATTCATTGGTTGATCTTGTCACTACTTGGCTGCTGTAATTTGGATCGATCATTAACTAGTGTTAAATATAGTAATGTTTCATTAGGTCATCAGTTTGCTAAAGTGGTGTGAGTTATATGACAATTATTAAGTTCACTCTTCTGTTACTTGGAATTTTTGTCGTGCTTGAGAAGTGTGTTAACTTGGACATCTTTTATGGTTCAAGAAACTGAGTCAAATATGTATTTGTGCAGTAGAAACTCACGTTTCTCCAAAACTGACTATTTAAATGGCTATTTAGATATGTTAAAAAGTCCTTTATTTTTCACTTTAATTGAATCCAGAAATAACTTGCATGCTTGATTAATTTTTATTAAAGGATGTGACCAGTTTTTAATCTGCTGTATTATAGGTATTTTTCAAAACTAAAGAGTTATTTATCTGTTATTTCTAGGTAGTCAACTCATGGTTAATAAAGGTCACTGCAATGCATAAACGTTTTTGCAATCTACCATTGATTATTTCTCCTCAAAACTAAAATATTTATGACTCAAACCCAAAAATATTTTGTTTTTTCTGCTTGCTTATATGTGGGTTCTATTAGTATACCCTAAAAGATTTAGTTTAAATTTTTTTTGATAGAAAATCATTAACTTTATGTTGAATATTTATATTATAAAATTGTATTAATGTCATCACCTTAGTTAATGCTGCTTGATTTTCATGCATATTTTGTTTCCTTTTTTAATGGGGGTTCAAACAGCCTTTGTTTGTTTAGTCATCTTCTATATTTCAAAATATAACACACAAGCTTTATCCATCTGCAGTAATCTGGAGACATTTCAAAGGTGTAAAAAAAACTCGTGAGATATTATCAAAATGCACCATTTTCAGGGAAAAATGCAACTTTTTTTTTAAAAGGTATGCTCCCAGTATGGCTTTGTATTTCTATGTACTGTTGGGGAAGAAAGGATATGGTGGTGATCTGCAGTAGTAGTCAAAAACCACTATAGGTGTATGAAACTTGTTACACAATCCTTAGTCTAGAATATGTCACAAAAAGAATTGCTAGTGTTACTCTTTAACAAAGTTTTCTTCTTTTAAGTACAGAAGTAGTATGTGAAGGATTCAGTTTTAAACTTTAAGAGTTATTGTATCACATAATTATAGATGATGTTTAACAAACACTTAATACTAGAAATAATCTTTTGTTTTCATAGTTTAAAAATTTTTTGGGGTTAGATGCCCAAATAACATATTATACAGGGTGTCTAAAAAATCTGGAACCATAGTCACCTCAACAACCTTTACAAAATGTGTCACATATGCTGTTCTTGTAATTTGAAACAAGTTTGGATTAACTCAACCTTCTCATACTTTGACGGCACTATAATCAGTCCCATATATGAAATTAAGAAAAGCTGCTAATTATCTACAGTTCCAGTCTTCAGACATCCTCTACATGGGTAGGTAAATATTCACATGGGGCTCCAAAAACAGAACCAGTATAATAATATAGACGTTGTTCATACTAATAATTTTCACAGAATTGTAAACTGCAGAGCTGAGAAGAGTTTCGAAACAGATGACAAGAATGTGACCTTGTAATTTTTTGGCTAGAGAGGAGTTTCTTTATTTTGGCTAACACATTCTAATAACATAAACAGGTACAGGGTGTTAAATACTTTCACCAATATTCCATTGTTTTTGATATCATTTTCCAGGTAAACACAGAACTGTGTAATGAAATATGTGATTGTAAGACGCTGTCTCTGTGTGTCTACTTTTATAACAAATGTAAGAATATGAAGTGTATTAGACTATTTCTCTCATTTTGTTCATTCATGCCTAGAAAATTGTTTGAAAAATTGATCAAATGTGTTTAATCTTTAAGATTTATAAAAGAAATCTTCAGAAAGTTTAATTTTATTACTAAATATTTAATGACATTTTGAGTATTTCCTTCTTTGTATCAAAAACTCTAAAGATTGCTCAGTTATGGTAACTTTATAAAACATTAGTGTGGTTTTAAAATTTGTATGAAGTAATGAAATAATTCGGAAAGTTGTGTTCTTTGCCTTAGTCACCTTTACAGTTTAAATTTACATACATGTGGCAGATATTGTGACAACTTCTAGGGGAGCTGACACTACCTAAATATTTTCTCCCTCCCCCAAAAAATTACACTGAAAACTACTGTTCATGGATTACCATGTCTTCAGGCACCATGCAACTGTATATGAGAAACCCCACCAACGAATCTCTGGTTAGTCCTTTGTGGACATTTAAAGTCTACTCATTGTAAATCACCTTGGTAATTCTGACTTCACTAAATAATTCAGAAAAACAGTGGCAAAAATAACCCTACTTTTAAAATTCCTAATTTACCTTCATTGAATCTCCCCTTATCATTTTAAATTTAAATTAAATTTGCCTCAAACTTTATCTGCCACCTCTTTGTCCCCTCACTTTCAGAATCCTGAAGTTGCCACTGGGTAAACACCAAAGAAATTTTTTATACAGCCTTCTTTTTAACAGATAATATGTAGCTTGTTCATTAATTGTTCTGAAAATATTTTATTCATTATTCGTTAGTTCTTTGCTAAAACATCAAAACGAACATTGTATCTTCATGAAACTGATTTACAATAAAATAGCAAGTGTTGAATGAAAAAGTTTGTATTTTCATACTTCTCAATCATAAATTAGAAAATAAAGTTTCCAAGAAGAATCAGAAACAAGTAAATCTATATTGATTGTAATATGTAATATCCGTTGTGGTGTAATACTCAACCTGTATTTAATAACTCTCATTTTAGAATAGTTTACTATAGTGCCTATTCCAAAGAATATGTTTCCAAGACACCTGATGAATACGAAACTGATATCTTATTTCATTAAATGTATTGAGGCAGTTTAGCACTGCAAAATTTACATAAGTAAAATAAGTTTCTTTTTCTCTTTTTTTTTTTTTTTGATAAGGTAACTGTAATAAGACAGTCCAATTTTATACCAATAAACTACCCGTGAAAATTAGAAGGAAACAACTATTCAAAATACCAATTTTCAAGTAAACTTAGGCAGCTAATTCTGAGAACCCTAAAAACCTCACTGTTTCTTTTATGAAAATCTGAAATTAGATACTTATTTTTAATGATGCTTCACAAGTTCGTGCCAGTTGAATAAAACTAAAATGCAACAATTTCAAAATTACCAAAGTATCTCCTACTGATCCATTATCATGTGGTCAATATTACTGCTAGTATAATTTAATCTTAACGTTGGACGTATATTAATCACCAGTAACATTTGGTACAACATAACATGATCAACTGCAGAGAGAATAGACAATAGTCTGGGAAGAGACAAAGTTTCTCTGTAATCTGTGATAGTAGAAGTGAAAGATAGGCATATAGAAAAAGACTTGACCAATTTTGACACAGAGCATTCACCATCAGAGATGTAGAGTGGAAGCTTGTTGTCAAAGAGAGGATTCCTCAAGTGGGAGCAAATCCATTGAATACACCATAGGATGGAGAAAACACTATATGGGAAGGATTTGGTTTATGTGAGATAGTCTTTCCACAACCAGGGCCATAGTTTACAGCCTATAATCCAAAGGTAGTGATCAGGGGCCCAAAATGGAAAGCCTAGAGCAAGAACAGTGGAGTTGTATAAATGGATCGTGACCAGTTAACCAAACAGGTGACACAGAAATTGATGACAAGTTTTTTGATCAGTCAACTTCTCAAGGACAATAACGGGGGAAACACTCCTCCAAAGACTAGACCTCAGAAATGGTGCAGGTGTCCGGAACCACATACCACCCAGACAGAGAGACTATACCAGTGAAAAGATGCAAGTCTGGAAGAGATTGGGAAGAAGTGTGTCTTGGATCATGAAGGATCTATTGAGCAATAACAACAGCAAGGGGAGAAAGGAAAGACACGAGAAAGAAGAGTCGATCTCTGGGCATACTCCACTGATTGGCCAAAGTCCACTGAAGGGAAAGCATATGGGCATGTTTGATAGGAAAAGGTGACTTGAAAGAAGAGAGAGAGGCTCCAAAAATGACAGAACCTCTTGAGAAGGAAGAACAGGAGACAAGAGAGCTTTTCTAACCAGAAGCTCCGTGTCTAGAAGATGTAAAGAAGTATGCTGAGTCTGCTCTGCATAATATGAACTGAGATAAAAAAAACAACAACTTGAAATTAGCATAATATACATTTGTTTCAGTGCAAAGATACAAAATAAACTATCTGCACTCTGTCCATCATTGTGAACCAAACCTAAAATTTTAGTGTTGTCTATAAACTTCTACTAACCCACTGGAGGATTAGGAACCTATTATCCATAAAATATTGGAAATATAGGCCTAAAGAATTCATTCTCTGTGCAAAAGGACATGACTGAAAATATACATGGCAGTAGCCACCCAAAGAGAAGGGCTTTGAGTTGAAAGATTCAACCATTGTGAACAAACCAAAAGAATCAATGAGCAGGCAGACAGTCCAGGGTGTGAAGAAATGTATTTGAAACATAGATCTTGGTCATCCCCATTTCAGAAGAAAGCACTAAACTCAGATTAAGAAAGCCATCCATGTTGAACCAACCAAGGGATGACCAAAACTGGTTTAGTGTGATAGATCTATTATAGGTTGTTAATCTCCCATCATGGGAGTAAATCCATAGAGTGGGATTGACCTGTTCAATGGTATTCATAATCTGAAGGAAGAAGGCACAGCTTCCTCCAGGTCCCAAAGGTGCAGAGGATCTGAGGGGGGTGAAAAACAACAAAAAGTAAGAAGAGTTTCAGAGTGAAAAGTGTTTGTGTTACCAAATGGTCTTTGATAAAAGGAGACCACAGGTTTGCAAAGTTGGGAGAGCCAAAAGGTGGTTCTAGAAACATTTTGCCTCCAAGTCCCGCGAATGTCGAAGCAGTGAAGGACAAAGGTTGGATTACCTCATCCTTGTGAGGAAAAGAGGAGTCAGAAACAAAGGTAGATGGAGGAAACACTTGATCAAATTCATCTACAAAACAGTATAAGCTCAGCTGTAGCAACAGAGGGAAGAGGTTGGGAATCCAAAATTAGAAAGGAACCAACCACTTGTGACAGTAACATCACTAGAGGTAGATAATAAAATATTTTTTTCCAGTAACATGAGACACTAAACGTTTCTGATTTAATGATACCAAGCCACAAACTCATACTACAGAATCACACACAAAAAAAAAAAACTGGTCTGAATGCTACTAATAAATAAGGCCTTCAAATTTAACGAGAAA